AAAAACACATAAACAAATGGGATCTTTGCTTATCTCTTTCATGTAGAAAAATTTATTTCACTTCTATTTCAGGTTTTTGGTAATGTAGTAGGACAAGATGGCATCACTATATCCCTGTTTTTTACACAGATATATTAGAGATCTTATTGGAAATGTTAAACTATTCAATAATAAACTATTCATCTTTTAGAATTTCTTTTTCCTCAAGTGTTGATAAGTACCTGAAAGTCTACAAGCAGACAAGAAAATTATTCAGTGGAACTTCATTTCTTGCTCCGTTTTTGTCCTCAGCAGTAGAGGGTGGTGAGATTTCAACCCAGCCTAGCAGGACCAGTAAGTCTGGAAAGAAGTAGCTCCAGTTCATATTGGTACCTGCTAATTCTAGTTCCGAAGACCATGGGAAATCTCTTGCCTATTTAGCTCAGTGATCATCCAAGATGGAAAATTCTTGGGCTCAGCTGTGAGGGATCCCAAGTTTATATGTACCACTAATGTCTCACAAATCAAGAATCCAAGAGAATCAAGAGACTGTAGTTCATTCCTTATATTAAATTCTTAGGACTGCTGACTGGGTTGGCAGTTTTGGGGGCTAGAAGCCTGATATCAAGGTGCCAGCTGGAATGGTTCCTTCTGAGGACCACGAGGGCAGGATCTGTTCCAGGCTTGTAAATGGGCTTCTTTTCCATGTGTCTTCACATTATCTTCCTCTGTTTGTATGTGTGTCCAAATTTCCTCGTCATCATCTTCTTTTTTAAATTTAGAAGTGTATACTGTTTAATCTACAAGGTTTATATAGCTTTAGCTAAAAATAGAAAAAAAAGCAAAACAAAAACAGTAAAGCCAAGACACTCTTCCAAAGTCTGGACCCTTCCAGCCTTCCAAATACAAGAGCTCTGGAAGTTGTATATACCAAATTTCCTCTTCTTAAAAGGTCACCAGTCACATTGGATTAAGGCTCACCCTATTAACACCATTTTAACTTAATCACCTCTGTAAAGGCCCTATCTCCTGATACTGTCACATTCGGAGGCTCAGGAAGTTAGGGTATCAGTATCAATGTATGAATTTGGGAGTAGGGGGAGGACACGATTTAGCCCATGACAGTCCTGAATCTCCTTTGCTAGATGCATGACTGCGGGCCAGTCACTTCACCAGTTGGGACATTGCCATCTCTATCAGAAAAGGGGTTTGGGCTAGGTCATCTATAAAGTCCTTTCTGCTCTAAATTGTAAATATAATGAGATACCAACTTTTAGTTTAATTGTTTAAAATTTTAGAAGGTAACTGGATGTTTTGCTGGTGTCAACACCCCCCTTTAAAAAAAAAATTCGGCCAGGCATGGTGGCTCATGCCTGTAATTCCAGCACTTTGGGATGCTGAGGCAGGCAGATCACGAGGTCAAGAGATCGAGACCATCTGGCCAACGTGGTGAAACCTCGCTTCTACTAAAAATACAAAAATTAACTGGGTGTGGTGGCGAGCATCTGTAGTCCCAGCTGCTTGGGAGTCTGAGGCGGGAGAATCACTTGAACCCAGGAGGCGGAGGTTGCAGTGAGCTAAGATCACGCCCTGCACTCCAGCCTGGCAACAGAGGGAGACTCCATCTCAAAAAAAAAAAAAAAAAATTCTCACTTTTTGTTTCTATTGTTCTCTCAAGTACCCCTCTGCCTTCTGTTACTTCTTTGCTGCATTCTGAGAGGATTGGGGTGGGGAGCACTCTTTCCTGTAGAACCCCATAACCCATCTATTTTCATCAATCTATTTGAAATTCAAAGCCAGGGGTTAAAATGTCCATTTTCAATTTGAGATGTCTAACTTTCAGATAAATCTATTAACATGCATTTCTAAGTGACTTTTAAGCTAAGCATTTTATTTTATTAAGCTTGTATAGAAGGGTAACCATTATACTTATATAATAAAGTGCACTTTCAAAAATAGTTCAAATATAAAATAATATTTTATGACAAACCTCCTAGAACTTATATGTGTCTTTCTCCCCAGAGTAGTCTCTATGGGTGCCTAAACAATACTGCATTATTAGATTTTTTTCAGTTTATAAGCCACACAAGAAAGTTAGCCCATGTCATCTCTAGAAGTATAAAAATAGGCAGTGTTCTGAGAGATATATCTGTTTATTCCTAGTTCAGTAACAGCACAATGAGATGCTAATTTATGAGGCACTTTTTGTTTATCTTATTGTCTTATTGGCAACCAGCAACTCCTGTTGCATTTTTGACATGGGAATCTATCAGGGTGTGGTTAATAAAGTACATTTCCATGGTAAGTATTCTCTAAGAAAAAATAAACCAAGATTTCATCAGAGACAAAAATTACTGCAAACTGTAGTTACCAGTTTCTGGTGATTTGTATAACTGAGCTTTTGATTTCAAAAATTAAAAAGTTCTCTTTAACATATTTTTGTGTCCAATAATTTTACTTGAAAAACAAAAGAGAATTTTCTTTACCATCAAACAATGTTGCTATAATGAGTGGTGATATATTTAGTCCTAGTGGACCAAAGAGAAATAAAACGGCTTTGATTATGCTGGTTTAAGAAAATATATCCAATTAAACAAAGGTTAATATTTATGATGTTTGATTTAGTAAAATTATAAGACTACCAAAGAAAGCTAGAAGAGCAAAAGAACCCAAAATTTATATAAAGAATTAAATGTTAATAATTCAAAGGTTTAGAATTTTTTCCACCTTTCGAATACTAAGTTGCTGTTATAGATTTACTACCACTATTACCCCTATTTTCCATTTTACTAAAAAATAATAACACAGGTGATTATGATAAATCAGTATAGATCTTTAGGCTCAACACAACCTTGCTACCTTTTAAATCTTTTTATTATACAACAAACACATATGCGTTATCAAGAAAAGATGAGTTAAGCAAAATGGAAAAAAAATAGTCTTAGCAACTAGAAATAAGCACCATTAAAATTTCTGTGTATTAAAAGATAATATACTGCTGAATTTTTTTTTCTTGAAATGTCCCTCTTTTCTTTTGCTTTTCATTTTCTTAATCCCTGAACTTCTAGTGTTGAATTTTCTGGACCACCGTTATACCCCCTCATCAAGAGGGCATTTTTTCCTGCAGTAGCTGAGCACAATGGTCATACTGAAGAAATTCTCTTGTGGGGCTTTGCCTAGAGGTAAAATCCTCTTGGCCGGGTGTGATGGCTCATGTCTGTAATCCCAGCACTTTGGGAGGCCGAGGCGGGAGGATCTTCTGAGATCAGCAGTTTGAGAGCAGCCTAGCCAACATGGTGAAATGCCATCTATACTAAAAATACAAAAAATTAGCCATCATAGTGGCACATTCCTGTAATCCCACCTACTCCGGAGGCTGAGGCAGGAGAATCACTTGAATGCTGGAGGCAGAGGTTGCAGTGACCTGAGATCTAGATTGTGCCACTGCACTTCAGCCTGGGTGACAGAACAAGACTCCGTCTAAAAAAAAACCCAAAAAAACCCAAAAAAAACCAAAAAAAAAACAAACCCACAAAAACAAAACAAAACAAACAAACAAAAAACACCAAAGTAAAACCCTCTTCACGGTGATGACTATAAAGCTTGCTTTTGCCTCTCTTTGTCACAACAAACTGTTTGCAGTCTGATGCTGTGCTCAAAATTGAGAATTCTCACTGACTGTTCCAGGCATCTGTCTACTCATTCTTGCCATGCTGAGGGCTGTCATTTCTCACCGCTGAATGCTTTTTTTTTTTTCTGCTTTTTAAAAATCTTTTCCTGTTTGCTTTGAACTTCAGTAAAAACAGTTTTAAAAAAAGTATATTAAGAAGGTAATATACTTTTATTTATTTATTTTTGTTTTTTTTTTTTTTCTTCTTCTTCTTTTGGTTCCTTTTCAAATCCATTTGCCACACTGACACTGGAATAAGCCTGAATGGGGGTCTGTATTTCTTCCAGTAGTTAAATTCAGTCACTGAGCTGTTGCTGTATTTGTAACTGCCATGCTAGATCCGGGGCTGACCATTCCTGAGAAAATGTGGAGATCGTTTTAGACTGGCATGGTGCTGGGGCAGGGCGTCAGTCATTATCTTCTGTGTCTGCTAATTCTTGCATCATTTCTTCTACTCTGTAACCTGGTTGGCTATGAAAAGTAATTCTTCCTCACTGATGCTGCAGGCAGTGGGTGAATATCCAATTGTTCTCTGAGTTTCTTGTCATGGGATACAAAGAACAAATCTCATGTGTCCCTGTTTCTGAGAGGTTCAAAGGGAATGCACAGATTCTAGCATAGGATGACTTCCAGCTTCTAACTATTTGTCTATGCATTCCATTTCCTCACCCCTGCCAGAGGTTACAATCATGGTCACGGCTGTTCTGAGAAATTCACTGCCAAAACTGGAGGGAGGGAAATGCAAACTCAGCTTCTTCCCAAGCTTCTGGGCGCGGCTGGCAAGTTTTGCCTTCCCTGCCAGCAAGAGCCCTGGCTTTAGGAGTCTTGCTACAGTTTTCCCAGACTGGAGGTCTTCCGGCTGACTTCTGGTTCTTAGCGAATTCCTGCCAAACACCTCCCCTTTCCCCAGTATGCATTTGTTTTGAAGGTTCTTTGCAGTCTTCTTGCCAATAATTGTCTATAAACAAATGGAGTTGTTTGCATGCCTAGGTGGAGTAAAATATTTAGGAAACTATTCTATAAATATGAAACAGCCCAGATTTGGGCCAGAAGTCCTGGCTCTGAGTCTCTTGTTAGCCACTCTTAACTGTGAGTTTTTGGACAAATCTTTTCTCGCACTCAGAACCTGAGGTCTGAACTGCTATACAGGTGACCTGCTGCCTTCTCGGAGAGAAATCTGAAAGACAACAGAGCCCTCACATTGGCTTTGCCTGTGCACAGCAGATACCGCCAATTTTGGGCGGGTTACACTTGTTTACCATGTTACTTACTTCAGAAATCAATAAAACTTGTTTACCATGTTGCTTACTTCAGAAATCAATAAAATTCTCTTCATGCTTTTATTTTACAGGTTCTTACCTCTGTTGTTAGATTATTGTCCAAATGTGTTAATGCCCAAGTGACTGATATCAACTCCAAGGGATTTGAATTGAGGAAGATCGTTACTACAATTGAGACTCAGAACTTGGAAGGCCTGCATCATGACGGCCAATTCTGCCGTAACCCCTGTCCTCCAGGTATATTACACAAAACATCCAGAGATTACAGTGAAAGTCACAGTTAGGAATAGCACATAGTCATGGCTATAATAATTTTACAGATTTTGGTTCTCCTGTATTATATAGCATAATTGAGAGAAAAACAACTATGAAATTATTTTCCAAAGATGAGTTTTATTTATATTTAGCATGCTTATTTGATGTGGTTATGGATAAATTTAATTTACAAGTGACATGCACCTCTGAAATGAGAAGATTGGTCTATTTGGCTCCATTTTTTTCCTAAGCGAAAATGACTCATTTGTGAATATGAAAGCTTATCATGTCAAAACTGATGCATCTATCATAACAATAGTGGAACTCTGAAAGCAAGAGACTTCTACTCTTAAGGGATATGTCTCAGCACTTCCCTTCAATCAGAAGGTCTCTAAGAAAGCTGTCCTGGCACTGAAGCCTGCAAAATATATTTGCATTTTGCAGCTGAATAACTAGATGAATAAGAAAAGCAACAGGCAGAAACCAACAGCTTTTTTTTTTTTAAATCAATACTTTGAATGGCAAACTAATTTCAGATGAGAAATCCTTCAAACACTGGTAAATTAAAAGCTAAGCAAAATACAATTGTGCAAACATTTCTTCAACTTTGAGTAGAGTCGAAAAAAGGAAAATAGCACATGGGTTCATGTGATAGATTAGTAGAACAAAAAAAGGACTGTAGTATGTTTCATGGTTGGCCTCCCAGGCTTCCAGCACTCAAGCTGCAAAACATGATGGGTCCTGTTTGTGAAAAGATTCTACCAGTCTCCCTATGCTTCCTGTCCAGATTTTAATAACCCTTATGGAAATATCTCCTTTGTAACCCAACCCGTTTTACTTAAATCCATTTACACTTAAATCTTCTCTGACACAAATAAAAAATGGCTTCCTGGCTTTATTATGACCTGCTAAGCACAATCAATTTGCCCTATGAATCAAAATCTTTGTTCATAATTTTAAAACCTAAAATGCAAATTAAAATGAGCAAAATATGCTTTGCACATCAAACTGTCAAGGATTTTTGTCTATTGCTTTTTTGGTTTTGCTTTGTTTTATTTTCATTTAAGAAGTGAAGTAAATTGTTATAAACTTTTAAGAAAGACATTTGAATATATGAGTCAAAAATTTAAAAATGTTTAGACTCGCTAAGATAGCAATTAAATTTTAAGAAAATACCTTGAGAAAGTAATCAAAAATAAAGGAAAATATTGTACACATGGTATTTCATTATCAATATGATGTGGGATTCCTTAGGTAAATTTTGGAATATTTAAAGACTGAAATAGTATGTATCAAACAAAGTCATATTTTCTGATACATTTCTAACATAATCCTCAATTATATAAATCTTCTTAAGTGATTTCCAGCTGATCTGGCTGGATTCACTGATTCTCCCTGATTCCTCTATAAAATATCCTGGATGGCATCCAACCATGTTAAATACTCTTCCCACTTCAATTCCCTCTTTTTGAATTTTAGGCTTATCAATATTTAAGTTGCTTCCAAATCTGTTTACACTCATTGGTGTTGTGATATTCATATGTAATTTGATTGAATATTGTATAAATTAATGAAATACAAATACAGAGAAAAGACAGATTTTATCTCTATGAAAATTAGGTTCAGTGCTTTGGAGAATTTAGTAAAGATGAGATGCTGAAATGTTGTTGATGAATTTTGTGAGAGAAAAATAAAAGTTAAGTGGTAAGAAAAATCACAAAAATCTCTAAAGCCATTCATACAGATTATTGGTATGTCTATGTTTTCATTTCATCAAAAAGGAAGGGAGGGAGGGAGGAGAATAAAAGAAACAAAGAAAGGAAGAGAAAAACAGACAAACAGGAAATTATAAGTGATGCGTTATGAATGTGACTTAAGTAAGAAAGAAACTGGGATTCTAATAACTTCTATATCACAAAATTGTCAAATGATTATAAAGTTATATTTTATAAATTAAAATAAAATATTTACAGTATTTTTAAATTGTTTCCTATGTAAATTGACATTTTTGATTAAATGATCAAAGAAGTCTTCCCCACATCATCATATTCAATAGAAGGATTCTGTGGTATACTGCCTACATATTTCATATATACACGTTATACATATATATACACACACACCTGTTATGTGTATGCTCATGTATATACATGTATGTATGTATTTATATGCATAGGAATGCAACAAAATAACAGGCAGTATCTCAAAGTTGTTGATATATAGTCTTTTGTTTGTTTGTTTTTTTGAGATGGAGTCTCACTTTGTAGTCCAGGCTGAAGTGCAGTGGCATGATCTCGGCTCACTACAACCTCTGCCTTCTGGGTTCAAGCAATTCTGCAGCCTCAGCCTCCCAAGTAACTGGGACTACAGGAGCACACCACGACGCCAGGCTAATTTTTTGTATTTTTAATAGAGACGGGTTTTTGCCATGTTGGTCAGTCTGGTCTGAAACTCCTGACCTCATTTGATCTGCCTGCCTTGGCCTCCCAACCTGTTGGGATTACAGGCATGAGCCACTGTGCCCGGCCTGATACATAAGTTCTTATTATACTTTCCTGCCTTTTCCAACATTTCTATAATAAGCATATGTACCATTATACTTAAAAAAGTATTTTAAAATCTGATTTTCAATAAAACAACTACTTATTTTCTTATTTTAATAAATTTTGTTTTCATACTTTGACAGAACCAAAGAACCTGTGGTTTATTGTCTCTCCATTATACCAAGGATGTTGTGCTAGGCACATTCTGCAAGATAATTTATTAAAGAGACCAATTCATTCAGAGACCAGTATAATACCATTAGCAAAAAATAAAATTATACTTGGACTTGGGCTGTGTTTTCTTTAAATATTGCTACAATGTTATATAGCCCTATGCACTATTTTTGAATTTTGTTCTGGGAATCTCCAGTTTGTCTTTTTTCTATTGACAGACTATTGTCTTTATTTACTAAAATAGCATATATATTTACATGTCATAATTTGCTCATGTAGTAAATATTTTGTTTTATCAAAAAGAATAAAAAGGAATATATGAAGTTATTAAGGAATTCATGTTCCTAGGAAACACAGCAGAAATTAATTTTGCTGTATAGGTGAGCAGAGCAGATTAAACTGCTTATTTTTTTTAAACTAGTTATACCATTAACAATTAAAGTCACTAGTAATGTTTTTCTGAGACACTTCTCTTGGTATTTTCTGTCACTTTCTTCTTCATTCTCTATTCCCTTACCTTCATCTAGCTTTCTTTTTCTAGCATATTTTAGCACTTGATATCAATATATTTATTTGTGTATTGTCTACCTCCATCCTGAGAAGGTGAAGTCTTTGGTGATGAAGGCTTTATCTTATTTCCTGCATAATATTAAACTTATAAAAAGTTCCTAGCACTCAATAGGCATTTAATAAACACCTATCAGATAAATGAATTTTTTAAGAGAACACATTACATGATGCTTACTAATAGCAATACAGTAACTCACTTTATTTTTAAAGTAAATTAATGCAAATGTGTATATTATTTAAAATTGTTTATTTTAAGATAACAAGCCTGATAGATAATAAATTTTGGTATAAATATGTTAATGCTTGTCAAAACTCATCAGTATGTACCCTGTCTTTTGATGAAAAAGTAATAAAAAGGGGAGAACAAAGAGAACTGTCATGCTCACTAGGCAGGCCGAGTGCAGTTCTGACAGCAATGCAAGAGAAATATTGCTATCTCCGTCATACACAGGATGAAATTTAGGCTTGGCGAAAACAACACTGTTAAAGATTTTATAGCTCTTCAAGATTTGACCAAAGCCTTTAAAACTTCAAATGTTCTTTTCCTTATTACACTATTTCTTATCAGGGTTTGTGGACTTTGGAAAGTAAAATGAAAAGTCAGAGCAATGTGAGTCAGTTTGATAATCTCAGTGTCCAGTAACAGCTATCCCCACTCTGAATATATACCCACCAACCTCTCCCCTTTCTCCAAGGAAGTTGGTTGTTGGCAAAGGCATTTCGTGCAGTGCACTTTGTCATTCTAACCTTCCTTTGTTTTGTATGCTCCTGTTGCTAATCATCCTATTTCTATGGGCTTCCGTCACTCTTTTAGCTTTTGTCTTGGGAGACTTCCTGGCTCTTGACATGACTTTTACAATAATCTTCTCCCCCATTGTATTTATATATCATTAGCCTACCCCGCTCCCCTTGTGTTTTAGAAGAGTTTTGTTGTCTAGCATCCCTGCATACTTCCCACCCTGTTACCTGCCCATGTCCTGTTCATACACTTGCTCCTTTTTCCCTTGGGCAGGCGAAAGGAAAGCTAGGGACTGCACAGTCAATGAGGATGAACCAGACTGCGTGCCCTGCCAAGAAGGGAAGGAGTACACAGACAAAGGCCATTTTTCTTCCAAATGCAGAAGATGTAGATTGTGTGATGAAGGACATGGTAAGAGTCTTAAAAAGCAATTGAAAGAGATCAATCTTGGAATTCCATGTAGAACCATTTATAAGACAATTTGAAATTGGGGCCTACTGTGGTGCTGTGTTGACACACAGGAAAGGGAAGGACAGGTAACTAGGGTACCGCAGGACCAGGTACTGAGCTAATTACTGGTCTAGACTTTTATGAGTAAGTCTAGGCAATTCTTCCAGATATAGGAGAATGACTAAATATGAACCCTAGGAACAGGGTTCATCAGCTCAAATCAAAATCTCAGAAATTATTTTGTTTCTGGCCTTGACTTATGCTTGTATAATAGTGCTTGTTCATGACCAGAAAAAGTTCAGAAGCCTGCAGTTACAAGGACACAGAAATCCAACAGTTGGGTAGGAATGCTCCCCATTTCTTTGGAGATTTAGTTGTTCTGATAATTCCAGCTGGGGACCTGAATTTTCATGGATATCCCAGTGTATTCTAAGGGCCCATATTAAAATATAACACAAGTATTTCTAGTTTTGTTTGACATGGAGAAACCCCTGGACATAAAGCTTTTCCCCTCCCTATTCAGCCTATAAAGCAGTGTTTCTCGTCCCTGGCAGTGCATTAGAATTGCTTTGGGAGCTACTAAAAATGTTTCATGTTTAGGTCCCACCTCAAGGCAATTACATCAGAGTCTCTGAGTGAGGGCCTTGGTA